CGATTTTTTCTCTGTGTTAGAAAAATGCTATATATAAATCTAATATACATCCTAAGTCGCGCTTTCGAGACATGAAAAACGGGAATTAAATTTCATGAAATGGTTTAGTAGAAAGGGAAGTTCTTTTTTCTTTTACTTCCTTTTTTTTTTCTTTGTGGAGAGTACCTCAATAATTCATTTCTTCTTAGAGAAAAATGTAAGTAGGTTCACTCATAACATTTAGGTAAGTAACATTATAAAACGAAATTTTAGGTTTATTTGATAGATAGAATTTTATAAAAATATATCCAAATACTCAAAAACTCATTTTTAGAAAAACGCGGAAAAAAAGAAGAGAAAAATCACTCCGTCTACTGCATTTAAACACATTTTTTTAACATTCTTACACTCTAATCCTGTTTTTGATAACCTTTTAAGCTTCAGGTTTATTTTTATTTTGTCTTTTGAAGATTTTTCCTTCCTGCGTGGTTTCATAAATCATTATTTTAAATACACTGCTCGACACTGAAAATGCAACACCAAGAAGGAGTGGTCAGAAATTTATGCAAATTTTAGAGTAGACTCACGTCACTGAGTTATGCGAATGATGTGAAATGCGAGCTCTCCGACGCACTTGACAACATAAAATGTTTTATTTCAAATTAAAAAAACCTCAATGATATAAAAGAAATGTTTTGTATCTCGGCAAAACGCAAGATTTTTGTGTTTCGAATTTAATCAACAAAGTCAGCGATTAAAAAAAAATTAATTGTTACTACCCGAAATAATTTTGTTTATCTTCCACGTGAAAGTGTGCTGACGTTCAAAAAAACGTAAGATAATAAATACAAAGGGTGTTTAACATTTTTAGAACGATTTCAATAAAGGATTAAAAAAAAAACGGCAAATGTTCCGGACTGACAACATTTTATGATTTGAAATGAAGAACATTGTCTGTTACTTAAATTTATTCTTTTTTTTCAATATGTAGTATGTCAGCAAGCTGTGGATTGAAGGATATGTTTTTATGCTTTAAAAAGAAATATTCTTATTCCATAATTGAATGTGAAAAAAATGTGAATAAAAATCCATAAAAAAATGTGAAATACACGGTATTGAAATTTCCGAATACAAAATAAACAACGTTATTTTAGTTTAAACGCGTTGATAACGACCATGATAAAAATTATAATAAATAATTACTATATTGCTTTTTATTTTGATACATTTTATGCATAGTTAGTGAAGGGGGGAGGAATTAAATTTATTTTGGATAAAAAGAACGAAAATAATTCTTGTTATAAAAGATCACAATACTGGCAAGCATCCCCTTAAATCAAATACCACGAGGGCAAACCACGCTGAAATGGGGTAGATAAGTGTCTTTAAGATTTCCCTCTAAAAATACAGTTCCATTATTTTTAGGGATCTTATTTTAAAAAGTAAACAATGAAATATGCACTTCACATAAAGTACAAATGCCATACAAAATTCTATATTTTTGGTTACAGCGTTGCACATTGATGCGAATCTTCATATTTATTTCTGCGAGTGTGAAAGTTGCGAAAGACAACTGATGACAAGATCACCGGACACAGGAACTTTTGCTCCTTGGAATAGTAAATTCCCTCTTTCCGGAGAAGAATAAAATCTCATATGAACTTCTCACCCTGCGGCACATAATTCACATCTCTTCTCGACGATCCTAAGTGATTCGGCAGACTAGCAGAGACTGCGTTTGGCTCGATCGAGCTATAAGAAATGTTCTGTGGTAATAAAAAATTTGGGAATCACTGGATTAAAGGACAGTTTTCCAGTTTGCTTCAGGATCAGTGCATAAATAGGTCCAGCTTCCTTAAGACGATACATTGAACTCTGCCTTGTAATATCGATAGCACGAACAATTAACAGAAACCTGTTATCAGCTGAGATTCGCGTTGAACATGCAATCGATATGTTTGACAAGAAATGACTGTTTATGTTTTTGTCATCGACGAACAGCTGGACAACAGTCAAGGTCAGCCCCTCATTAAGTGCTATCTATGAATCAAAGTGCAAAAGAGAGAACTTTCACTCGCATATCTGTTCGTGAAATAATCGCTATTCTTACCTGCAGGAGACAAAGGCAAGAGTGAGTCAGCACGAAATTTTGCTTTGAAATTTATTCTTTGAAAAGTGACTAAATTTTTGCATTTGACAGATTTAATGATTAAAGTAATTTTAAGCAAGTTAATATTTAAACGTAAGAAAATATGCTTAAGAATATTGTATTCCGTTTAAGATGGAACCATTCAGAGATTACTCAATAAGTCATGGTACATTCTCCTTTGTAATTATACACTGCTGGCCATTCAAATTGCAACACCAGGAAGGAATGATCTGACGAATGTCAAAATTCACAGGAAAAGAAGAAGTTGGGATATGCAAATTATTAGTATTTCAGCGCATTTAGATGACGCAGGAGGGAGAAACGTCACCTGACGCACTGCATAAACGAAAAGTTGTGTAGTGGATTTCTACTTCGGAAAGTGCTTTGTAAAGTTGGAGTTTGCTCAGAATATCGTGTTATGCCTCGAATATGAAGAGGAAATGCTTATCAGCAAGTTTCGAAATTCGATAGAGGCAGGGATTGTTGCCTATCGAAAGTGCAGATTATCGTTCCGTGATGTCGCCGGTCGCATTGGTCGACATCAAACCACTGTCATGCGAATAAGGAATCAATGGGTTGTTGAGAGTCATACGGAACGGCATGCAGGATCTCAACGCCCTCCCATCACTAACGCCAGAGAGGACAGGCATATTGTGAGGCCAGCCCTGCAAAACCGTACGACCACATCACGGACCATTACTCAGTAAATGGGAATGTTTGCAGCAAGCTCCAGGTGCGTCGACGTTTGCTGCATCGTGGACTATCACCAGGGAGACCATTACTTCGGCTTCCCTTGACAATGCAGCATAAAGAGAGACAGCGACTCTGGTGCGCCAGATGACAAAGCTGTGTACAGGAGTGGCACAATGACGCATTTTCAAACGAGTCTGGGTTCTAAGTGTCGGTTCTGATGACCGTATACGTGTCTGGAGTGTCCGAGTAGACCGCACGTCGCCGGCTTGCATTTGATATCGGCATAGGGGCTCTGCACCTGGTGTGATGGTTTGGGCAGCCATTGGGTACACAACACGCACATCTCTAGTTCAGATCGCCAGTAATTTGAAAGCAGATGGGTACATTTCTGACATTTTACGTCCAGTGGTTGTGCCTTATCTTCGAGGCCTACCAAAAGCTATGTTCCAACAAGATAATGCAAGACCACATATTGCATGTCGTATCCTGACCTTCCTCTATATACAGGGTATTCGATTGCTGCTCTGTCTTGCGCGGTCTCTAGATCTGTCACCCATTAAAAACATCTGATCACGGGTTGCAGAGAGACTGGCCCGCCACCCCTCTCTAGTTAATACGGTTGATGAAGTGTGGCATATGAGACAGATGCAGACAGATGAGAGAGGCCTAACGTGGACGCGATTTGTTGACGTTTGGAGATCGGCGAGATTGTGATTTAGAACTTATTCATTGCGTTTAAGCAATTATTTACGTTATCTTTATCTGGTTTTTACTTTAATGCTTATACGCATTTCCGCACTATATTTACTGTATTAGAACCATTTTTTACTGCAGGCACGTAGGCCTAACCAGGCAGATTAATGTTTACATTAGAACCAACGAGTCAATCGTTTAGTGCAGTAAGTAGTAAATAATTTAGTAGTAAATTATTTTGTGCACTGATCCCAATAGTCTTTCTGCTCGACGAAGACTTAAAATCGATCCAACACTGGTGCACCATATGGAAGTTTTCCTTCGCGTTGGACAATTTGATCAATCAATAATATTTTTAGCAGTGTATTGAAATTTTCAGAGTCAGTACATTTATATATACATGGGCGTAGCCAGAGGGTGCAGAGAGGTGCACTTGTACCCCTTATCTTTTCCCAGCTTTCACCCCTCTATCTCTCACTATCTACCCTAATCTTTTCCCACCTCCAAAGATTTTCGCTGCCGGTCATAGAAATAAGGACCACCTAGTGTCGGGACATCCTTTTCCTTAAATTCCCCTTAAACGATATAATTAAGTAACTGGTGTCTGGTTGTAATTCCAAGAGTTTCCTATAAACAAGAGTTCCTTCTTTATCTTAACTTACCTTAAAATATTAAAATTCATTTGCATTTCGTTAAATTTTCTAAATATCGTAGTGATCTTCATCAATCTTTTGAATATAAATAAACATTGAAAGAATTTAAATGCATGTATCATGGGCATTTTGCAATTCTAATTTTTTATACAGAGGCAGGCTATCTATTTCATTTATAGCTAGAATTTATTTACATTTGTAACAATATTATAATGCAAAAAGTATTAATTTTAAAATGTATAAAAATGCTTCTTAAACATTTTGATTGAAAGTTGACTAAGTAGCATTCGCTTCAATGCGGGACATAACTTATACAGGCTCTTCTTGTAAAATTTTATTTAGATCTAAATTTTAGTAAGGCGAGAGAAATCAAAATTCTTTTGTGAATGTTATTGATTAAATAAGTGACTGTATCTATGTGCATGTATATTATATGGTAATTAAGTGACTGTATCTATGTGCATGGATATTATATGGTAATTAAATAAGTGACTGTGTCTATGTGCATGGATATTATATGGTAATTTCTGAATGCTTTTATCTGTATTAACTCAATTTGATATGAATGCTCGTCAACTCTAACACTGAAAAAGCCTAAGCATCATGATATGATTTTGACATTGATTTCAGAACTGGTATTTTGGTATTTTGGTATTATATTTCAGCAGTGAAGAGGAAGAAAATAGAAGACATCAGTGAAAGAATTAAGGAAAACGTGTGCTTCTCCTACCACTTTACATAAAGCCATTCTTCAATCTACATCAGGTAGTAGTGACACCACCGAGGAATATTACAACCATGATTTGGAAAGATGGGTGGGGTGTTCGTCATCAATGGCCAGACATCTAAAAATGAAAATATTAAAATGTTGTTGGTCACCTGATGAAAATTGTGATTTTGCAGCAGATGCTATTCATTCTAGAAGGAAGTTTAGACATGAGTGGCTAAAGACCTCTGCTCCTTGGTTCACATATTCAATAAGTGTAAAAGGAGCATTATGTTTGTACTGTGTTCTTTATCCTCCTGCTTCTGTATCAGTGGAAGATGTTTTGGGATCCTTTATTATTAAGCCATTCACGAGTTATTATGTCATGCATGAAGCTTGTAAACATCATTTTTCATATCAGTGGTACAAAGCATCAGTAATCGCTTCCAAGAAGTTTCTAGAAAATGATTCTGTAAATGCTAGACTAGCTTCTGGGAACGTAAAAGAAACGGAAGAAAAACGTAATAGCGTCAATAATTTCCCCAATCATATTTTGTGGAACCCATGACCTCTCTCTAAGGGGTAAGACGAAACAGGAAGGGGATTATCAGGACCTGATTCGTCTATAAATCCAAGCAGGAGATAAAAGTTTGTAAAGACAAAGGGCAGTAAAAATGCTACTTATATGTCACCTCAAATCCCAAACGAATTGATTAATTTGTGTGGATTAGTGGTGAAAGACACTATAGTCAGAGATGCAAGAAAAGCTTCTGCTTACAGCATAATGGCAGATGAAACAAGCGATATATCTGGGAATGAGCAATTGTCGATTGGTATTCGATTTTTTGATGAAGAAAGGATAGCTGTCCGGGAAAAATTCCTAGGATTTATTGAACTAAATGCAATGGATGCTCGTACTATAACAACTGAATTAGACATTTTTATGAAAAGGGGAGGTTTTGATCCAAAAAAATGTGTTGGACAAGGTTGGATCAAACATGGCATATTCAACTATGGCGGCGAATATTAGTGGCGTGCAGAAGATCTTACAACAGAAGTATAAAAAACCTTGTTTTTCCATTGTGCCAGTCAAAAACTAACATTAGTTGAGAACGATTTGAACTGCGTATCGGAAATCAGATATACATTTACTGTAAAAGATGTGATAAAGTTTTTCGTTATATAAGTATTCTAAACTTGTAGAGCTATTAGGTATTTTTTGAAAGCAGGAGATATGAAAAATGAGAAGTGCCTTAGCCGGGACTCGAACGCCGCACCTCTCGAATACACGTCGAGCGAGCTGACCACTACACCACGAAGGCGGAAGAAATACCTTATCTACTTCCCCTTTTAAAGGGCGACTGGGGATCAGGGGACCCAATAGTCAAATCCTGGTGGTGAAGAATACATTTACTAGTGAATCAGAACCACGTTTCTAATTCACTAGAAAGGTGAAAACTTTTTTTATTCACCACCTTTTAGTTCGGGTGCCACTGTAGAGACATTAGGTTATTTCGAAGCAGGAGGCATGAAAAATGAGCAACGCCTTCGCCGGGACTCGAACAACTTGCCTCTCGAATATGCGCCGAGCGTGCTGACCATTGCACTACTAAGGCATGCTAATAAGGCGGGGCTGGTACACACTAAGGCACGATGGTCTCGGAAATACAGAAGTATTAGTATCTTTAAAGATCATGTTATAAACATAGTAGAGGGACTGGAAAAGTTATCAAAAGAAGGTAATGCATCTACCAGGAAAACTATTTTCGAATTACACATAAGCAGAATTTTAATTCCTGTAAAAGAACATCGTAGAGCAACAGATGTTTTATGCCAGGAAATTCTATCTTTCGCAAGTGATGTGGCTAAGAGCATTGGTACTGAATTTGAAGCACCCAGAATTGTAAAACTGCGAAAACATCGTTCAAATATTCCAGCATCTACAACCGATGAATTCTGGAAATGATCTCTTATTATTCCTTAGCTGGATTCCTTCATATTATCACTGGAAGAAAGATTTTCAAGCAATAATATAGCAGTATTTTCTTTGTTGTTATTACATCCTGTGGCTATTCTAAAGATGCCAGTGGAAGAAATTACCAAAAAAAAAGCGGAGTGCTTTCGCGATTTTTATAATTTGAAAAATGTTGACAGTGCGAGAGAACTCTGGCATAATTTCTGGAATACGAAGACACCAGAAATCGACAACATGAAGGAGTTAACTATGGAAGATACTTAACTCATACTTTGGCTCAACCATGTACTACGTGCACAAAAACACTAATGCAGCCAATCAATTAATTCGCTTTCAAATCGAATTACTGGTGTTCAGCAATTTTATGTAATCTACTGCTGACGAATTCGTGTCATATCATAGTTTCGTTTTCTCGGTATAAGATCGTTTGCACCCCCTATCTCCGATCCTGGCTACGCCCATGTATATATATATATATATAATTAATAGTAAGTTTGATTGTAGGGGTATATTGTGAAATGTCTACATCTGAGAGTGCACTGGTTGATGGTAGTGGAGATAATGGTTTTGATTTAGCTATGAATGAAGCTAATGGTATTGTTACTTTGGCCAGAGGAATCACTAAAGATCGTGGAAAAATTAAAAACCAAAAGAAAATAGCCAGTACATTGCCGGTTAAGTTAACTGAAGGATTAGTTAAAATTCTTCAGCTTGCTCTAAAACAGAGTATTCTTATGGTAGAAGCCAGTATTATACGTGGTAATAGAAATTATATTAAGGGAATTAAAGATGAAATTTGTGATCTTAAGGTTTTCCTATTGGAACGAATGGATTGCTTAAGTGAAAAAAAGAAGTCCACCTCGAAAAGAATGGCTTCTTCGGCTCTTGAAAAAGATCATGATGAGACAGTGAAAGCTTGCTTCTGGTGGTGTTGATATATATGATGAACTTATGAGTAGCATGATCAAGGCAGACGATATAAAGGTTAAGACTGAAAGATTCATTAGAAGAGAAAACGGAAACTTTTTGTTGAAACTAAGTGTAAAGATGAAGTAGTTAGGTTTGAGAGTGCGATTGAAGAAAAAGAAAACGTGAGGAAATATGTAAAACCAAGGAGGCGTAGATTTATTAAACAGAAAATTATAGTTTATATGTGGGGAAGACCTTTAAGAATGAAGAGCTTATAGATGTCTTGAAACATAATTTTGTATGTAATGCCGAATGTGTTGGATATTTGTTTGATATTCCTACAAGAAAACTGGGAAGGAACGTGTTTTTTCTGTTGATTCTGTTTTCTAAGGGAAATATTGGAAGAGCAACGTCTGGTAATTGGATGGCGTACTTTTTTGTTAAATTATTTTTGAGATCAAGACAGTGTATACAATGCTTGGCATATGGTCACTCTAAGATATTTTGAAAAGATCAAGTCCATTGTGGTGAATATGCTGGAAATCATCTTGCGATTGTTTGTAAGAATAAAGATAAAGGTAGGAAATGTATTAACTGTGTGGTTTCAAATCAGAAATATGGTATAGAGCTGAAACATGATCACAATGCATTTGATGCATAAGAACTGTCCCTCTTTAAAGAGAGAAATTTAATTTATTAGTGGACACATGGACTTAGATTTTAAAGAATGTCTAGTATGATTTAAGTTTTGCTGCTGTGTTTTCATTTATGTGTATATTTGTTTTATTTTCACATGGTTTTACTATGTACATTTATTTGTATGATTATTTTAAGTATCAACCTAAGCCACGGTGCAGTAGCTGCTGCCCAACTCTCTTTTCTCCAAAATGTTATTGGTGTTATTCCCTGATCTGATCTTACTGCAGGAGCCCTATGGGGTTAATGGGAAATCGGTATTTATTAAAAATGGTTGGAGAGTTGCAGCTTGAGATAGAGGACGAATTGGCAGTTGTTGTTTTAAAAGAGGAAATTGATTTTATAGTGGATTATAAAATGGATGAAATAACTGTATTAATGGGAGACTAAAAGTTGAGTTTTATATCGGTATATTTTTCTCCTGCAGAGGATGTTGCTGTGAATCTTCATAAATTGGAAGATATTTTAAATAGGTATAAAACGTTTTTAATCATGGGGAATTTAAATTCAAAATATTTTAGCTGGAGGGGGGGTTGGTTGATGGAAGAAGAATGTTGGTATTTGATTTTAGTGTATCTAATGATTTAATTGTGTTTAATGATTTTAATTCTATTGCAACTTTTAATTCTGCTGTCAGACAAGGTTGGACAGATTTGGTTATGGGATAGAGCAAACCTGGATAGTGACAAATGCAAACTTGAAATTAATACGTAAGATTGACTGAGCGATCATCGATATGTAATCTTCGAAATAACAAAATTTTGTGTTCACTATGGAAGAGGAACCTTGGTATCGAGAAATAATCTAAGAGTAAACAAGCTCTGTAAGAAACTTAAAGTTGATATGATGAAGCTGTAGAAACATTAGGTTAATTGGAAAAGCCGGAGAGATGAAAAATTAACAACGCCCTCGCCGGGAATCGAACCGCGGACCTCTGGAATACCGGCCCGGTGTGCTGACCACCACAACACGAAGGCACGCCAAGAAGGTGGGAGGAATACCTTATAAGGCTTGGTGAGAGAATTAGTGTTATAAGTAATAGTGAACAATTGATTGGTGCAGTAAACGATTTTGGAATGTTGTGTCAGGCGAGAATAGATTGCGATCTACTGATACAGAGGAAAAGTCGAAATGAACCCCCGAGTTGGAAAAGTTTAAAAGACGTATTCGTGCATACAGGAGAAGCTCACAGGTGATTGGATTAGATGATAATACTAGAATTTTACATAAGATAAGTAAAGAAAGAGAATTTCTATTTATAAAAGTTTGACTAAGAAGACCAAGAGAGAATGTAAAGAGAATTAATTTTAAGAAGCGTTGCGTATTATGATGGTTTATATAAGCTCACCATTCACATATGCTGAAGTTAAGAGTATTATATGGGGTTTGAGGAATATGGCTGCTGCAGGCCCGGATCGCATACATTCTGTTTTGATTAAAAGATTATTCTTCTACCCAGATATTTTTGTTTGCCTATATAATGCCTGTCTTAAATTTATTATTTTTCCGGATTTTTGGAAAATTGGCCAATTATTTTAATCCTCAAGTCTAGTAGAAAGCAAATATTTACACTTTTGAATATTTTGGGTAAAGTGCTAAACAAATAGGTAACTAATAGAGCTTTACATTTTATTTTTAATAAATGTCCGCATTACCAATAAATGTCCAGAGTTTTACGTTTTATGAGTTCCAATATGGATTTATCTTTTGGAAAGAGGTATGGAGGATGCACTTTACCGGGTTGTTGGATATATATGGGTTTTATAGAAGTGAACAATACGTAGCTTTGATTTCTTTAGACATTTCAGTTGCATTTGACGCTGTTGATTGGTCTTCCCTGTTGCATAGTTTAATTGATTTAAAAATAACTAGAAATTTGTTTTATACATTTAAAAGTTATTTTAATAAGAGAAAAATTATTTTTAAGCTTTAAAGATAAGACTAAAGATTTAGTTATGAATATAAGGAAAGCCCTCAGGGCTCCTGCA